TGTGGCTGCTGGAGTTGGAGTTCTCGCTGTTCTCCCTGCAAGTGCAGGAGCAAAGTCGCGGGTCAGCGAGGAAGCGGGCGGCTCGGCGCCGGGCTCCTGGGGCGCGAGCTGCGGGCCCGTCGGGGCCAGAGCCTCCCGCGCTGCGTACGCGGCGTTCGGACGCTGCCGCATTTGGGCCTGGCCTGGGGCGCTCCCTCTTTCTGCCAGTTCTCAATCTCTCAACACCGACTTCTCTCTTCTCCCCCTCCCTGCATCACCTCTGTTTCCCCGCCTCTCGTGCTCTCAGTCTCATGAAAACCTTTCCTGCTCCCGGTATGTTGTTCCTCCCTACACCCCTCGCTGACTGGCTAACACTTCTTTCCCGGAGCAGAGGGGCAGGGGCGCAGGGGAGCCTGGTTCCCTGGAGTTGGGTGGGCGGCCAGGGCAAGAGGAAGGGAAGATGTCTGGCTTTTCAGATCACTCTTGGCTCCTCCATCCAGGGTTGGCTGGGTAGATGTGGGGCCAGGAGAGTGAGAGACACTAGGCACAGGGCCCCACGTTAAGCTGAGGATCTCGGAGGCCCTCATCTCTGTTTCCTTTTCTCCGCTTGAGGGAAATCCCTGACTGCTGCGGGGCAGGTCCTGGGGCTTAGGACCTTTCCCTTTAGCTTCAAACTGGCAGGCCTGCTGAGGCCTCTCCTTGCTGGGTCTAGAGGCAAGGCCCTGCAGATGTAGAACTCCCTTTCCCTGGTGGCATAGTGAAAACTTCATCTGGGGGACTGGAAACGGGGGGCTTGGAGGGCAGCTCATGGGAGAATGGGGAAAGAATGAAGGGAACGCCTAATCCTGGCCTGGACGTCCCAGAGAAGAGGGGACTCGGCAGCCCTCACCTGGGGCCTGGCCCGAGAACCAAGTTCTTCAGGAGTTTGGATGCAGGCCAGTCTGGGTGGAAGGGGTCCCCAGCAGGGAGTACCCACCTCCTGCCTTTCCTTTGACTGACAACCCTGCCAGATTTGGAGATTTGAAATCTTGGGTAGATTCTCTTCACTGGCTTCCCAAGGCCTTTTCTTCCCGTGTTCCTGGAAGGGAACTTCCCAAAGGGCTAGAAGCTGAGACCTTACAACTGTGGATACCCTAACCTCATGGTTTCAGAGACTAGAGTCCACTTGCAGC